AGCAACTGCAGGAGCATCTGTCCAAGTTTTCGGACAAGAGGGAAGACGCGAAGTAGGACGCGATGTCCGAAGCGTCGGACGCGAAGGAAGACATGATATCCAAAGCGTCCAGGTTCCTCCCAAAAGGGGAGTCGAGCCGCCGATAAGAGCCAGAGCGCATCTTTCGAATCCAGCATTCGACGCCGTGCGCAAAAAGGAAGTCATTTGCACCGTTGAGTCAGAGCCTGAGTTCGAGTTCGAATATCCCATCGAGCTACGAGGTAACAGACTAGCTAAGCACATTTTGCAGAGTCACACACCTTATGATCCAAGCTGTGCAGTCTGTCTCATGAGCAAGGGATTGAAACGAGCGCCAAAACGAACAGATCAAGTCACCAACGAGATCCAGATGGATATTGCCAACCTATGCACCCATCCAAAGTCTCCAAACATGTATAGGTATGTTGTGATGTGGAACCGAACGCACGGGATGATAGCAACAGCTGCAATCTATGTAGATCAAGCTTCGACGATTCGTGTTTTGACAGCTGCCATCAACCATTGTTCGTCCACAGGTGCGATGGTTCTCAGTGATGAAGGCCGTGACTTGACTGCGCTCATTTCGGAACTCATTCGATTGAAGGTAGTATCAAGGCATGAGACCAGTCGTCCAGGAAGACACGCAACTGGAGCCGAGAGAGCAGTAAGGACCCTCAAGACTCAACTAGGATGTATTCGTACAGTGTTGTACCAGCGCGGACTGATGCTAGGTAGTGAAAGCCTTCGATACGCCGCAGCAAACGCTTGTCATGTTCACAATGCATTTCAGCTGCAAGCCAACAGTTCGCTGACACCGTATCAACGTATGCGCATCAGTGTAACTAGTTCAGGAGAAGTCCCAAACACCAATCGAGTTATGCCATTTGGATGTTTGGTTTTTGCCAGGCCGACTGATGGGTACTTGGAAAAGGTCAGAGAAGCAAACGCTCGTCACTTTGTTCCAGGCATTTACTTGACCCCAAAGTTATCTTCGTTAGGACACTTCGTTGCCTTCGAAGGTTCACAGGACGAGACTGTGGTTGTGCCTGTTCGAGACTTGAAGATTGCCTCACCGATTCGTTTTGTCGCTGGACTTGGTATGTTGTGTGAAATTCCAAATTCCAAGAGTGGAGTGAAGCCAGATAGGATTGAAAGACTACCGAATGATCTTTCGAAACCCCAGAAATATTGGTTGATTTGCCCATCCATGAAGGGGAACCACCTTGGTATTGGAGTGAAGTGAATAAGACTTCGAGATGTCCAGCTTGTTCGAACGGGAGTGAAACAGGTCATTCAGTGAAGTGTCGGAACCGTTACAAGAAGTATCTGGAAGAAGAGGACAAACGGATAGTACCGATCGAAGACGAGTCGTCTGTGCCCGTCGTACCTGAAGGATTGGAAGAAGGCTTGGATACCGAAGAAAAGCCTGAATCTCAGCAAGAGTCGGGAGAAAGAGTTCCAGAATCAGAGTCAGAACGAGAGAAGAGGAAAAGAAAGTCTATCGATGATGAGTGGGATAGATTTCATCGCGAGCATGAGGAGAAAGAGACTGGAGAAAGATTTCCAGAGTTTGATGATGTACCGTTCCATGCGCCAAAGGGACAGGAAGCGGATACCGAACCGACGCCAATGCAAGAGGATCCAACGAATCCATATGAGATCGGAAAGAATCCGGAACCTATCGAGGATGATCGGATGAGTGAAGGCTATGAGCCAACAGAAGTACCGGAAGAGTACAGAGCACCCGAGTCACCCGGGGAGAGTCCCATGGACATTGATTTGTTCCAGAAAATCCCAAGAAGAGGAAAGAATCGGAATAATGACCATTGGGAAGTTGATCTTGACAAGCTTGTGTTGAGAAGAGTTCACCACAGAAGTCGAAAATGTGTTTTTGCAGCATCATCACTGCCATTGCCGATGCCTGAGGATCAGCTGGTAGGTATTCAGAGGACGTACTACGTCGATGCTGTTGATGAAAGGCCAGTCGATGAGATTCCAAGGGACCAGTTCAAGGTCCATGTCAGCGAGTTCGGAACCCAGACCGCGCCATTGAGGCGTCATTGGAAAGGGTTTACCGAATTGCCAATCAAGCAGCTCTACATGTATGATCATCAAGGTAATGCCATTGCGAGCTTATCAGATCTAGGTAAAGAGTTGTGGGAAAAGGTGAAAGACCCCTTGTCAAGATGTTCGGATGATGAGGTTGAAAGGTTCTTGTCATCAGTTCAAGAGGGGGTATTTGAGTATAGCAGGAAGGTTCCAAAGGAAACCGAGGAGTCCAAGTTCGACGCGAAGGCCGATTCGTGCAAAGTGTGGTTTGGAGGTAGATGGATTGTACTCCGAAAGCCATCAAGAGCGACTTCAGATATAGGTGAAGGTCCATTAGATGTGGATGCCACATTCGAGGGAATGCACACAGAGGTCATTGCCCTAGAGAAGCACAGGACAGGTCAGGTCGTGAATAAAAATGAAGCACAAGAGTATTGCCAGATGCATGGTATCCGAATCATCTCAACCCGATGGGTAGTTGTAAATAAGCATGATGCTATCAAAGGAGACATCGTTCGATCGAGACTTGTAGTCCGTGATTTCGCCACAGGTCCGTCAGCAGCCGAGTTGGGCGTTTCAAGCCCTACAGCGTCATCAGAGGCGTTGAAGGTTGTGTTGTCTTATCTTGCTCAGAAGTCAAGTTTTCGAAAGAAATCAAAGAAAGGAGGAGTAGGAAAGACAGCATGGGTTTTAGATGTAAGTACAGCATTCTTGCACGCCCCCGTGATTCACCCAGCGGTCGTTTCGTTGCCGACTGGGATGGAAGATGAAGACGGAGAGCCTTTGTTCGTCATTCTTGAGAAAGCGATGAACGGACTTCGTTCTGCAGGAATGTCATGGTATCGTCACTTAGCCGATTTGTTAGATCAAGAAGGTTTGACAGCGTGTAATGATTTTTCTTGCTATCCAGGGTTGCAATTTGCAACCAGGGTTGCAGTTAAGGAGGAAGTTTTCCAAGCATTGAGCTCAACGCTAGTGAAGCTCAACGCTAGTGAAGCAGTCTGGCAGGATGAATCATGATGATGTTGTTAGCTTGATCCACTGCGAAGCTCTTAATGGATAGCACGCGTGCGCGCACAGACACACGCAAAGGCTTTAAGGGTCCGTGTGGGGGGGCCGATGCGTCAAGTTCGAGACTAGTGAAACGACTATTATAGTTTTGAGACCCCGATTTCGTTTCCCGCGGATATTGAATTTTTGTGATTTAATGAGTTGCGATTTGATGTCATGTTGCGTGGCGTTTTTGTCATTGCCCGCTGCATTGATTCTGCGCAAACCCAATTACAGAGCGCATGTGGTGACACAGTGACGTGCGCAAAAAAACACATGGAGACAATTTGATTTTGAACCGTCACGGGGTTTTTCGTCCTGGAGTCGCAGTCACACCCGCCATGCCGTTCAAACGCAGTGTCTCTTCCTTGAGTGATGAGCCGGTTTCAAAGTCAGAACCCCAGAGTTCATTTGATGTTGTGTAGTGTACAATCACTGGCAACTTACTGTGTGACTCAAATGGAATTTGTTTCATTGGTATTAGGACTAGGAACTAGGTTGACTTTCAGGCCCAGACCTGCAAACGTGATGAAGCCGAACTTGAAGAAGAAGAAAACATTTGACAGAGCCTAAGAGCGGGCAGGCTTATGACAAGTTCCTTTGCCATGTCAAAGTTGACCCATGTTTCGTCAAGTGAGGTTGTGGCTGGATGTCCAGTTGGCAAACGCGCTCCAAATTTTGGATGCGCGCGAGCAGGGCCATGTCGGGTTGAGGTGCAGTCATTTAAACCACAGTGGTACAAAAATAAAGCGCCTGACTGCGGGCCTTTGCGAATGCGTTTGGTTTCTTGGATTTTTGACTGGTCATTTCTTAGTCCTTCTTGTTGCGAAAGCCGCGGAAATTCATTGGTCAAAGCCCCATTGCTTGTCCGACCAAGGTTCCACCGAAGAAACAACAACCACGGGGACCTGTCAAACCAAAGCTTCAGAATCAGCCTGTCTACAGGGATGTCTTCGGGACAATAAGTTCCTGGGTGACAATGATTTGTAGGTAGTGAGTCGCATTCAATGTCTCTTTGATTTGTTGGGGCAGCCATTTAGTGAGTTCCATTTTTTGTTGTGCGTGACCCGAACTTCAGGGTGCTTCAGCGGAACAACTCGGGCCACCACATCCCATCTTTCACAACGAGGGACCCAAGCCGTTTGCTCAGTTACCAGTTGGTTTTAGGGTCACTGGGCAGCAACGCAACTTGTCCTGAGGACGCAGCGACTCAGATCCGCCACTGGGACTTTTACAAGTCCAGCTGCCGCAGGAAGAACGTGTCTTACGGCAAATTTCTCGTGCCCACTGTGGCAGAGTTCCTATCCGGACACACCCTCAGATTCAATTGGAACAATGACAATGTATATATTGCGTTTCAAATACCAAACAGGCCGCGGTTTGACCTTAGGTTTGCCAACTGGATGGACAGAAGACGCATCAAATTCTGTGTCAAACGAGAGTTTTCGAAAGTTTGCACCGCAGGCTTGGCATGCGCGTTTTAGTTAACGAGTCTGTCTGTGTGTACTGCGGGAGTTCTACAAGCAAAACAACGCAACACAGACCCAGTGCCAGGTCTCCACAAAGCCAAGCGCAAAAGTCATTTCGCTTTTCAGCGGTGTGGGTGGGCTGGAGCTTGGCCTTCGACAGTCGCAACCTCAGCCTGGCCCGGCGTCGTTCCAAAGCAACATGTTATTTTTCCTATTCGTCCGAAAACGGTAGGTCCAGTGAAACAGTGAGCTTGTGGCAGCCTCATGAGGTTTTGCGCCCCAATTTGCTATGCCAGGGTCCTATCTGATAGTTTGTACATATACAGTATCAGTATCACACTTAATGGTTCGTTGTGGCGTTGTGAGTTTGAGGTGGAATCCTCGCCTAAGTGTCGGCAAATTTTGCGCAAGCGAATGGCAGATGGACTGTTGGAGTCTGCTCCGGTGATGAATGACATTCGATACTTTGGGCCTCCGCTTGACATTGCAGCCTCCGCCGCAGGGGTGGTCGGAGGCTTCCCTTGTCAGGCGACTTCAACTTTTCCTTCGAACAAGAACAGAGTGCACAATTGATGTTCAAATCGTGCTTGTTGTTTCATGTTGTTTCCCTTTTGAGTTAATGACTGAGGGAATCAGCAAATCGGGAAAACAATTGGGTCTTCAAGACCCACGCAGTGCATTGATCAAATCCGTGTTCGACGTCATAGATTCCTGTCCATATTTGCAACTCAGTGCCCAATTGGATGCTAGAAGTGGAAGCTGCTTTGGAAACGCACAGCTCACAGACCCATACTTTATTTCAGGACATTTGCTATTTTGGAGAACGTTGCGGCCTTGCTCAGCTCCAAATTGCGTAGTATGTGGACCTACATCTTGAAGGTTTCAGCTGTTTGCGTTGCGAAGCCATTGAATTTAATGGAGTCCGTGCAAAACAGTCAATTGCCTGGCTGGAGGCGTTCGCTTACCGTGGATTTACAGTGAGCTGGTGCTGTGTGACGGGCAAAATGGCAGGCCTGCATGTCCTTGCCTCATTCATTCCGAGTCGTCGCAGATTTGGGAATAGTAGGGCATGGGGTCAGAATGTGTAGATTGCAGCTGTGCATTGAACGCACTCAGTCAGGTTAACCGGGCTAGGATTTTTATCCTGGCATTGAGACCGGGTGGCGCTGAGACATTGTTTCAGGCAGCGGCTTTCACAGTAAACTCAAATTGTGAAGTTAGGTAGTAATTAAGATGTCATGTTCAGCTACAACAAGTTACAATGGCTGGCAGGGTGTCAAGATCATGACTGACGAGGAGATTGAGGACCAGGCGAACAAGTGCCTGCTCATGGCGTCCGGCCCTTGCCCGTCAACCTGGCTTTCCAAACAGCAAAGCCAATCAGACAAGATTCGCTTGACTGCTGTGGGCAATGTCGTCATTCCTAAATGTGCGGCCCTAGCGATGCACATTCTGGCACGTGCGCTCCCCCAAACATTACATCCTGAATCCTAATAGTTTTTTTACTTTGCCATTCTGAAGTCAGTTCGCTTTCAGGCTTATTACATGTAGCATCGTTTTGTAGTTGTATCAAAGGGTCATTGTAATCATTGCATCACAGATCGAATCGTGGGAGCAACTGTGCAATTCAAACAAGCTTGCAGTTAATTTGGGCAGTGACTCCGACCGCCCCTTGGAGCCACATCACGCCAATTCAATTCGAGCGGACAAGTTCAAGTTCAAGGAGACCTTTGGTCTCAGGTCGGCCTGGCTTGTCATTGTTACCTGCGTGCAATGCAATGCCACCTAATCAACGTGTTTCTTGATTGGGACGCTCGATTTGACCCAACGCCGGGCAGAGTTTTTGGTTCTGTGTGAAGGAGGCTGTCCGCCCGCTAGCTTTCGCAATGTTTCTTAAGCGCTACTTCCGGCATGCGGACGGCTCACGGCTGTCATGGATGGCGTCCTGTTACACTCAAGATAATGATGGCGGTGGCTGCGGTCACTCAGGCTTTGTTTGGGAGGATAGCCAGGCTGACGGTTTGGCTGACCACGTGTGCCCTGAAGCTGTGATCATCGTGGTTGATCCTGAGCCTGATCCCGTCCCCACCAAGAATCCTCAGAATGAATCCAGACCAAATTTAGAGCGCTGAACATAATGTTCAAAGTGTGTCGGAACGATGTTGCACACAATGATAATATTAGGGCAAATTTGTGACATTTTGTGACTATCAGCCATCAGCTTGCCTAGGATGGGGATCTGCCGGCATCTACTGCAGAGATGGTGGAGGCGATCTATTTATGAGTTGTCAAGTCAGTCATTCTGATACGATTCTCAGCCTGGTTGATTGGGGTTAGACATTGAAACTCCTTGTTGCCTTATGATGTTCAAGTTCAGTCAACCGCAGGCCGTCGCTCACGAGAACAAGAAGCGCAAGTTGACAGCTGACATCATGTCGCAGGAGAAGGCGAGCGCCAAGAATTGAAATCGTTGCGCAAATCAAATTGTTTTTTGGGTGTATCCTGATTGATGCGACAGGCTGAACAGTGGCAGCTTTCTGAAGGACAGATTCAAACCCAGTTTCAATTGTTGCAGTGAGTTAATTCATTGCTCTCTTTCTTCAAGCTCGGGCAAGAATACACGTGGCACTGGGTCCTTTTTGGTGGTTATTTTGCAATGAGTTCTAAAGTTGAGGTGAACTTTTGACTCTCTTGCAGGACCCAGAGCAACGTTGGGAAAGCGATCTCGGATGACGGAAGGCGCAGCGGGTGGAGAGTGCTTGTATAGATTCCAAATTACCTGCTGTGAGCAGTCACTACTTTTTTACTTCTTGTAGTCATCCATTCACGCCCAACGAGTGGCTCTGTCGGAAGGCAACGCTCCTGATGTTGATGACAGTGTCAGCTTGACGCCGCCGGCAAGTAGCTCAACACTGGTGACTTCGTCTCTTTGTCGATTAAAGAGTTCGGCTCAGCTAGAACCATGAGAGTGTGTATTGTGCTGCTTTTAGGTGCCCAATTCATTGGCTTTAGCAAATTCAATGCGTTGCAATGTTTGTGAGTCCGTTTGTGCTTCAAGCGGTCTTCAGTGTTACTGTTGCCACGGCAGTGAAAAGTGTTTCACGCAGACGACGGTTGACATGAGTTTTGACTCGTGGGGCAATTTGTCTTGTGTTGGCAATGTTATGGGCTACCTCCCTTAGTCTAGTTTGATGTCATGTGTGGATGTTAACGAAAAATTAGACCTGCGTATAAACATGACCTTCAGCTGACAGACTGCCAGCATGCAGTGGTGCCTGCGTTGACTGTCTGACTTGAATGTTGAATCAATCGGTCTGACAGAGCGTGAGTGTTTGGATTATTTGCTGCATTGTTCAACTCAATCAGTCTCACCTTTAAGTGTCGCCGCAAGGTATATAGTAAAATCCTGGAATCACAGCTAAAGCTAAGTAGTCACAAACTCCCCTTTGGCCAACTTTCTAAGCTTTTTGCAACAGTTTTTTGAGGGGCGGTTGGTAGTCCGTTTTTTTTGCATTGCGGGCGCAGTCCAGCAATGCCGTTCAACGATGTTGACTGCTTGTCAGATGACAGCGGTGGCCCGAAAGTTAAAGTTGAAGTGAAGCAGGAGGTGCCAGTCCCGAAGAAGGAGAAGCCTGTCAGAGATTCAAATACCCTCCGCTGGAAGCCTTCTTACGTTAGATCTTTTCTTGGACGCTTAGTGTGCCAAGTTTGCAAGTGTGATGCTGGACGCGCGCGGGGATCCTGGCAGACCAGGAACTGTTTAAAACAGTTTCGCACTGATGTCGAACCCCTTTTTCAGCTGCGTATGCGATTACACCGTTTGCATAAGGCGGATATGGATCGGGAGGTGTGGTGTGCTTTTTTGAAAAGCAGAAATAGAGAAAGGGTTCACTGTTCCAATTGACACACTTTTTTAGAAAAACCGGTGGTTACAGGATGCCATAATGGTCAATAAACATTTTCCCTGTGTGATTCTGAAGTTTAGTTTAGGAGTCGTCCTAACTTTGTTGCATGTTTGCAGGTGGTGGATATGCTATCAAGGAGTCTGAGAGGGACACACTCCGCGGACAATCGGGGGGCAAGTGATCCTGGGTCGACAGGTCTGCCAACGGGCCTTCAGATCTCTGATTGGGCTTGGCACCGAGCGCTATGCAAAGTTGAAGAGAGCAGCTTTGGATGGCACTGCTCCACCGGGAGACGGCCGCTGCCTCCCAAGAAAGCTTTTGCTGAAGACACAGAAGGCATCGATCGACAAGCGAAGTGCTATCGCTGAGTTTTTGGAACAGCTGTACAACACCTTGAGTGAGCCAACACCTACTGTGCTTCATAGTGACACTCAGTTTGTGAAGCCTAAGCTTGGTAAGCGCAAGCGGAAAGACGAGTCTGCTGAAGTCAAGGCTGAAGGTATGGGGCCTGTTAAGCAGGAAGAAGTGCCAAAGCCATTGAAGTTCCACAGGTTGCGTGGGCGTCGGCCACGGAGCGCAAGAATTCTTTGCAGAGGCAAGGGGGGTTCGCAACTTCGGCTACTACCACCCGGCACGTTCACGGACTATCTAGTGATGTTCCGTGCCAAGCGGCCTGACATGAAGTCAGTGAGCTTGAAACTGTTCACGAACGTGCTTGGGATGAATTTAGTGCTTTTTTGTTTCTTGTGACTTCAAGTCAATGGCTCAGTGAACCGATGTCGAGCCGATAGCTAGTAATTCAGGTGTGGGGGTTGGCCTTTGGGCACAAGCTGGCCATCAGGCCGGCTGGCACTCATGCCCAATGTGGAATTTGCGTTCGACACAAACTTCTGCTGAAGAAGTTGACAAATGACCGAGCTGCAAAACAGCGTCAGCTGGAAGAATATGAATCCCACTTGGATCGCCAGTACAGAGACCGATCACTATATTGGTCATCACGTGGGCTTTCACGACTGAGCATCTTGCCGGATGGCAATCGGTCAGTGACAATTGTCACTGACGCAATAGATCATTCGAAATTTCGCTATCCCAGGAGTCATGCTGTCGCTGTCTCGAAGGAACTGTCGGGCTTTATACGGCCGTCGATGGACCTTTCTGCCGTATTGGCCCACGGCCAATCAATTGCACTGTACATGTCAGAGCCATGGGTCCGCAAGGACAGTTCATGGTGCAGTGAGATACTGTGCCACACACTGACCATGCTCCCATTCGACCTCCGCGAGACGGAGATTGTGCTGCAGGCTGACAACTGCAGCCGGGAGTGCAAAAACAATAGCTTAACCCGGATTGCAGGCCTTTTAACAGGCATGCGTCGTTGCAGGCGTTTCGAGATGCGGTTCCTGGCCACGGGCCATTCCCACGAAGACGTGGACCAACTATTCAGTACAATGGCAGCTGCTATTGAACGTTGCCCTGAGGTACATGTTCCAAGTCAGTTCCAAGATCTACTGGAATCCTGGCTTGCGAATTCAGGGGTCCGTCCACATGAGCAATCCTTCAGGAAAGTGTTCAAGGTCGACCAAGTCCGCGACTGGTAAGCTGGCGACAAGTTGGGCAACCATGTTCACTGTTTTTGTCTTCTGAACTTCGGTTCAATCCCTGTAACTTCTCGATCGGTCTATTCACGTTGGGTATGAACCGTTCAAGTTCTTCAAGGAAAACTATCCGAGCATGGTTATTTTCCTATTCAGCTTGGGCCATTAAATCTGGCCCCCTTACTAAGTTAAGTCCTGTATCTATTGTAGAACACCCATAATATTCCAGATGGGATTTCTTGGTCCAACCCAGCCAGGTGGGAACTTGGCAAAGGAGCCCCTGCGTGTTGAGCAACCAGACCTTTAACTTAATAAGCAAAGTCTGTTTGAGCGCAGCGTCCGGTGGTTACATGGCTTTGCTTTAATAACTCACACTCCCGGCGAGGCGCACCTGGCTGTTGTTCGCCTGCGAGGAAAACCACCTTGCAGGGATCACAGGACCTGGCGCTCCTCACCTTTTTGCCTTCGACAGAAGAAGCGATCTTGGAGGCCCGTTCCGAGCGGCGTTTTTCTGTTTCGGTTCACGCTCAAAGCTGCTGGGTTGAGAGCTTGTGTTAGTGCTTTATAGCTCGTCGTTTCAATCACTACAATTTCTGTGAGGAGATGTTCGCGCCAAGATCAAGAATACATTTTGGGCCGATGTAAACCATGATGACGATGTCATCCTCAGGACCTGGAGTGATCCTGTGTGGGGGCAGTTCATGGGAGTGACACCTAGTGTCTTTAAAAGGTGATTCGGTCATCTGTAATCAGTGCTGTTTAGTTGTTATGTATGAAACCGTTGTTGCTGTTTCTGCTGAGGCTCACGATATAATTGCGGTGGTGGTTGTGAGTAGGTGATAAATGTTTTGTTGTTGCGATCATGTTTGCTACGTCGGTTGATGTTATCATTGTTCCCAGGACCAAACATCACATGTCAGATGAGCACTGGTTGGGCGACCCAATGCTGTACCTACCGCACGCCCTGATTGAAAAGATTGCTTATTCCGGGACGGTCCCATCAGGCTCATCTTGAAACCCGTTTTGACGCCAGTCTGTCGGTGCAATTTCCGAGTTGTCAGTTACAGTTCTGTTTGCCGTGGCGCAGTGACTGAGTGGCTGCCAGTCACGGTTGACGACCGAGCTCATGATCCCAAGCTCCTGGATAATTGGTCGAGATATGCGAAAATCATTCGTGCCTGGGATGTGCCCATGAAATTTGCAGGCATTACGATAGCTGTCATTATATTCATTGTGGTTTTGCTTTACCTTAACAAGAAGTGGGGCCGAGGCCAAGATCCTTACAACATGACGGAAGCGGCTGACCATCTGGAAAAGCTGGCAGACGGCCAGCTGGAGAGGCTGCCTTTGCTCAACGTAGACAGGCAGGTGTGACGGTACATGATCCGGTGTCCGGCGACCGCAACTATTACGTAGAAAACAGTCGTTGAATGAAGTTCAGTCTTATTACTTGGGTACATCAAGAGTAAACCAAACACAATTTCATTTCCTCAATTGTGATGGCTGCAGGTGCCTGCCAGCTCCTGGCCCTGCTGTTGGCCATGGCCTCGACGGATCTGCTCCATTGAGAGGTCGCAATCTAGACTCTGAGCCACGGTGGGCAAGAGCAAGAGCTGTGATTAGCTTTTCAATCAAATGCACAGTGTCAACGATGTTTGCTCCGATAGTTTTGCAATCCAGTCCCCCGATGTGTATTATAAATGACCACGAAGTTGCACCGCGCACGTTTCTCTCTTGATTTGTTGCGAGCGGTTCAGTCTAGATGAAGCAAGAAAGAACCATATAAATACAGTATTGTTTTCATGTTTTCTTTCAGCCAGTCAGTGATGAGTTCTCAGGATCCAAATTCAGTTGTGATCAGACGTGACAAGAAAAATGCAAAGTTTTTGGACAAGTACAAGGTGAAGAATCGGGATGTTCACATCTACAGGGCCGCCGTGATTTTGTGGGGGGGAGGCGGCCATCAGATGACATGGGAACGTGCTCTTGAACTGAGCCGATCCGCTTTTGAAGCCACCTCAGACTGAGCCGTTTTGCTTGGTCACTATTTCATGGATCCGACATCATGCAGCGACGCTGCAAAGCAATATTATATGCCTCCATGCCATGGCGAAGAGTTTTTTGGTGGTTGTTTGGCGCCTAATTGTGACTGCGTCTTGATGGTTGTTTGGTTTGCTTCAGGCTTCAGGGGGCCGGCCCAATGTTGACACCTAGCCATATTTTTTTGGGGGGGGCCTGTAAAAAAGGCACTAAGCGGTTCGTGCCCTAGGGAGTTGGATCCTAAATAGAAATGTTTTGGCAATTCCAGTCACAATCACCCCACCTGGCGCGAAGCGCGGGAACTGTACTGTCGCTCAGCTCCGGCAGTCAGAAAATTGGTGCTTCGGAGTGGAGGAGGGATTTTTTGATGACACGTCGTGGTGTCATTTGCCAAATTTCAATTTCACAACATATGGTTTTAGGCTCCCCGCTAATGGTCTGATGCTATAAAAAAACATGTGGTGGAGGGGTCGTGAATGCAGCAGAGTCTGATCTCAGACTTAAGTTCAAAAAAGCAAAAAAAAATTGGGTGCGGCATGGAATTTTACGGGGGAACTTTTTTGGTTTTTAAGATCGATTGTGCATGTGTGCGAAGTACATGGAAAATTTCAGTTTGTGACTAACGACAGCGCCCGTAGTCACAAACTTGGTGGCCAACGAAGCGTTCCGTCGCAATTGGAGTACCCAACAGCGCCCCCCGTCACAATTAAGGAACCAACTGGTCGCAGCGTGAAATAGTCTAACAATATTTTTTCGATGCTGTGTTCGATGGCGCAACCTTGGTTTGTGACGGATCACAGTGGATCTAGTCACAAAAACCGATGAGTTGAGTGTTGCGGAGTTTGTGACGGCTTTCCACGCTTTCTTTTTTCTGACGGATTTGTCGGTAGCAAAGGAATCGATTCTACAATTCTACAATTCTCTACATATGTATTGCAGCTGGTTTTCTTTCCTGGCCAGGTCGCTATGGCCTTGGTTTTCGCCTGGCACTTTACATGGCATGCGAATGAATGCCAATTGAGGATGCAGCAGTGATTCCGAAAATTTTGCGTTGCCGTGCACCGTATACCCACAGTGATGGTTAATTTAATCGGGCGCATTGTGCAAATATTTATGCGTTCTACTTCTATCATCAGTAGGCTGACGGCTCAGGGTACTTGGGAGTGCCACGCCATGCCCAAGCGGAAGTCCGGAGATGGCAGCAGGCCTAAGGATAGTAAGGCTGCAAAGTTCCGGGTCAAATCGGAGGTCGACGATCTTTCTGGCTATGACTATGTCAAAAAACTTGACGAATGGTTGTTTCCCGCCTGCTCTATACTATTCATGTCATGTTGTGGGTCCTTCTGAAAGGTTTCTTTGGTTCACTGTATGTTCTTTGGCAAGCTAAACCGCTGTGCTTTTTAAGGCTGAAGATCGCAGACACGGCGGGATCTATCGATGCTTACCTTCACAGCAAGCTCGGCAAACAGGCTAGGTTGTGTGTTCGTTCGGGGAATGATTCACGTTTCAATTAGGAGGATGACCTGGTGAAGTTCCTCAGCTGGCTGGATGTGACATTCGAACCAGAACCATCAGTGTCCATGCCTTAGTGGTTGTTATTAATTTGGAATACAGTTTCATAGGATGCAGCAGTTGTTGAGGACCTATGCAACTCGCAGCCAGTTGGAAGTCAATGGCCCGCTATCCCTCCGGCCTTGGAATTTACCCTTTGCACCGAGCTGCGGCCTAAAGGGCGTTGTCGAACCAGAAGCTTGAACGCGCTTGCTGTTTGCTGTTTGTTTAGCTTCGTGAACCCATGTTGATGGGTGCAGAGTCGTCTTGCCGATCTACACCATACTACATGATGTCACAGTGTCACACTGCGTCATGCAAGGACAACGTCAAAGAACTTGCACAGTTGATAGCCATCCATGGGATGGAGACAAACAGCGACAACCCCGGGGTGGAGCGGATTGCTGTGTCGACCTTGCGCCCGGACGCTGGTTGTGTGCCACCTTTCATCTTGAATGTCACTGATGTCTTAGACAAGGAAACATTGGCACATGGTGGAGACAAGTTGTTGGATCCTCATGGAGTTTTTCTAGTGAAAGGATACACACGGACATACTGCATGTACCTGGTTTTGCTTTGCGCGTACGAGCTGCCAGAATTTCTTGAGGCAGGCTTGGATTTCATTTGTCGTTTCGCAGACTGTGTGACAGAGGCTTAGCTTGTAAAGTCATTGTCGTGTGTCATTGCCACTGAATTGTACGTGGTAGGCGTTCTCAACAACTGTTCGCGCGACTCTTGGACATATTATGTGTTTTCGTTCCGGACTGCAGTGCAGAAATACTATGCAATCCCGCATAATTGTCGATCTACTAGTTCCCAGGACATTCAGCACTATCCACGCAACATCTGTCATGGCTGACTCCACGGCGGCTGACCTGGTCTCACAAAACCGCTGCATCACGCTGGCAAGCACAGTGCGGCGCCGGCCGAACTGCTTCAACTTGTTTCATCAAATGACCCTGCTCCGCAGAGTTGGTGCCAACGAAGACGTGATCCGGTTTACATTAACCCAAACAGTTTTCATGCAGTATTATTATGTCACCTCATCGTATCATGCTTATAGTTTTTGCTGTGAGACCAAGTAGTACTTCTATTCATTGTGAAGGAATGGGCAACAGCGTCAGACCTTGCAGTTGCATACAACGTCGGCCGCACAGAAGCACAAGCTGCATGGAACTTGCTTTCGTGCATCGATGCCTCCGTCACTGAGAGGCTTACAGTGCTTGTCAAGAATCTTGCTTGATTTGTCTATTGTTTGATGGTTTGAAGTGGCATGAACTGCCAGGCCGCCAGGCCTAAATTGTCTTGTGGCTGGTTGTTCATTTCCGGGGTCGCGTGAGTGACCAAGGAAACACACCCTTGGGAAGTTCATGACGAATGATACAGTTGCGCAAGGGTGCTTTAACAGAGACAGCTGCAGCGCACAGCCTGTGATGTCCGCCTGGCAGGCCCAGTTGCTCAACACCGAGGCGATTCTTCTCCTTCTTTGTGATCGCCTGGAAGCAGACTTCATCCACACCCCTGTGAAGGGCCGGAAGGCGTTCAATCATTCTCAGGTTGAAGCTCAGCTCATTGATGCCATTCTGCCTGGATAATACTAGTAGTATATAATAGTATTTATTGGATGATGCCACACATAAAAAGACACAGAAATAATATATGGTAGTCAACTCGAATACACAGGCTGTCTTATAGTGTGGCTGTTCATTCGCTTCGATGGGCTGCAAACTTCCGCTGTTGAATCTTGCAAAGGAACAACTTCAACGCCCGTGCGCCGTCTTTCTCGTCTGCTGGGAGACTTTCACTGAGAGATACCCAAACAGTTTTGTGAAGGCTGAAGAAGCATCAATTCGCAAAGCGTTTCTTGGTGTGGGTCTAGTTCTTATTAAAATATGCTCGACTAGTCGAACGAAACTCGTTCAGGTTCATGTTGAAGCACTGCGACAATGATTTG